AGTAGTGATGTGGTAGATTGTAGTATTGGGGTAGTTACTCATGTTCATAAATGTTGATATGTAATTGTTATGTAGTATGAGTGAAGGTTTGTGTTTGTATGAGGAGTGTATGTGGTCAGGAGATTTGTAGGTTTTTCTAATTCAATATATATTGGTGGAGTCGTATATGTACAAGTATTTATTTTTGTTTGTTTGTCTGTTATTGTTTTTTTTTTTTATTTACAGTATTTATTTGTTTATGTATCATTCATTTATCAGTTTGGTTCATTTCTTTATTAATTAATTTGTTTGTTTGTTTGTTTGCTAACTTATTGATTGATTGATTGATTTTCTTTATTCGTCGGTCTTGAATTGGTAAATAGTATCTGGAGCTTCTACACCAGCTACAAAAATGTTTTTTTTAGTTTGCATTTGCGGTCAAGATAATCGTTTCAAGATTACATAATCGTTGTCGGTAGCTTACTATCTCTTTAATCACTTAGTTTCATGATTAAGAGCCTCTTGTTTCTGACAATTATTGCGCACGTGAGATCTCTCCGTTTTTCTAAAAATTTCTCATGCGGAATTCTCGTCAAAGGRACCTCTATTTTACTGCCACCAGCTCTTTGCGTCTGGCCTGCAAAATACGTTTTTCTGTACAAACAATTAGGCTCCAAATACGGAATACCTCAAATCTACGACCAGCTCTTTGCGTTCGTCTGATAAAATGTTGATTTTAAACCTCCAAATTATGGGCAGCTTTGTTTTACGGGCAACAACTAGTACATTCTTTGCTAAAACATTACACTCTTGTTAACGGGCAATTCTATGTTATGTTCTGTGGTGCTTGGTTGGTTGTCATAAAATATACTTTAAATTCGAGTGGCTTAAATGTCATTTATTTTAAAGTGATTCTTGGCACGTCCGTCATTTCTCTGAAAGGTACCATCAAGTGGTCGCTTCCTTTGAAAATTTAAAGCTGTCAAAAACGCGCTCATTATGGAAGAATTGGACGTAATTGTCCGAAACATATTTTTTCCAATAAACTTTCTTTATCAAAAGTGGTTTTGAAATCAGTAGTAAAATAAACGATAAAGACAACAAGTGATTTTTACGACCTTTCGAGGTCATACTGTCCTCATTGTCAAGAAAAACTTTCTTTACACATATAAATAACAATGATCCAATGAGGGTTAGTAAGTTTTGGATGAAAGGTATTCATATTCAGCCTCTGTTTGTCTTGGTTTTCCTTGTCCGATGTGTTTCTGTCATTGTCAAAATATACACCAATTTTCTTATATTAAACTGATTTTTGGTACGTGAAAAATTAGCTTTTATCCAGAAATGACTTTGACTCAAAAATAAGATGTATCAAGCTGATAAAATGGTTTATGTGCGCAGTAATTTTCTTCGTTTCCTTTCACATTTGTATACAAATTAAATTGTAATTAGTTCTTCCTCGAGCTTTATTTGTAGATTCATAGATGTGGATTGGAAACGGGATTTGTGTGTTTGAGTTGGTAAAATGGGATTTCCCATCCCTAAAAATGCAAGAAAAAATGGGAAATTGATTGAAATTGAAGCAGTCTATAGTCTTACGGGATTCGTTAAAACTATAGAAAATATTTATTATTATTATGATAATACGTCAATTCAAAAAGCTTTTAGAATATTAATAGGAAATTCAATGCTTGTTTGTCCATTCTAGATGATTTGGACGCAAATTCAAACAATTATTTCTCATGGCCACCAATAGTTTGTTGAATTTAAGTCGAAATTATTACAACAAATAGATACCGCAAAAACAGATAACARCAAMCTTCACCTTCAGGCTTTTTAAAGAAGCTGTGTTTTTATTAATAAAATGAATCATRTTTTAATTAAAATTGTAGTCTTTTCACTCAGGTCATACTACCGGGCCTATGAGACGTGTCAAAGAAGCTCAATTTTGAGAACAAAAAACTTTGTAATTAATTGCGATTTTTTAAAGTGTTGTTGTKTACCAGAGKCTCCGTTTTTGTTGTTTGCGAGTCAAGAATTGCTTTAATTTGTCATTTTGGAAGTCTCCCAAGTCGAAGACGGATGGAAGTGGAATTATAATTGTTTTTTCAGTTTACGTGAACACATTATAATTGCCAATTTGATCACAAGTGTATGCAAAACTAGCTTAGCTTACAAAAACGTTCACTGGACAATCATTCATAAACTAACTATTCTTTAATGATTTTCCATTTCTTTTTGTTAAATTATTTTATCTCTAATTTCAAAGTTTATAACAGCACAGTTCAGAAAATATCGTAAATATTGAATGTTATTGCATGTAGTTATAAATTATTCATTATTTAAGTTTGATCTTGATATCAATTGTCCAGGGTTCTCTGTTGGTTGCCTTGGATAATCTGAGCTCATACAAACGCGCGTTATTAAATCGATTTCTTTTAATTATAATAACAATGAGGCGATGTTGTGTCTGAGATATCAATAACATATTCGCCGTGTGTGAATTTGTATGAATTCAATGAAAATTCTTCATGATTACAGGATGGCATCATTTTAATCACTTCTTGACGGTGAACGCATTCAATATAAGTCGTTATTTCTCCGCGTACTCTTGGTTTCTCTTTTTCGTATATTTGTACTGYTTTTAATTCCAAAATTCCTTTTTTTTCATATGGTTTTACTTAAATGATCTCCCACTAAGAACCAAACGTTTTGACATAAATATATTTCGGAATATTCCCAATATTATCTATCTGCTTAATGCGAAAGCGTTTTCGATTAATAAACGTAGATTACCAATGGCCTCTTAACTTTGCAGAAACACTGCCCTCTTAACATGCTTGATCGCCTTGAAGTTCCTGGAAGGCGTAAACTGTCTCAAATACTCCACATTAACGCGYGTGAAACGAGTTTTACTCGGGTATATGATGGGATATGCGGCGATTTAAGTGCGCTTCTCTAATATCTGTTTCACGGGTTTAGGTGCCTTGTTTCTGTTATTGAAAGTGTTTATATCTTTAAGTTCCATTCTCTATGGTGCTTCCTTTGTAAATATTGTATTRACCCTTACAGATTTTAGCTCGGTAGTTTCAGGACAGACTTTAATTCCACACAATCTCAGTAAGTTTACGTATTCCTTACGGAACTTTCTATTCATAATACCGTAAATAATGGGATTGACTGCGGATGAAGCACTTGCGCAAACAGTAAACATTACGTACACTTCACGTGGAAGACGTGAACCGTTTTGCGCCAAGGTAATCATCTCTATGATTAAAACTGGCATCCAGCAAAGCAGAAACGCAACGACTGTTGCAAATAATGTATTAGTGATCTTAATTTCTTCAACTGTAATTCGCTGACTGGTTCGTTGTATCGTCTTTTTTACGCTTTTCTTGTGCTGCCGAATCGTTAAGAAAACCTTCAAGTAGCATATGACAATAACAACTGTTGGTACACCTAGGAATATCACCATTAAATACATCACAGACCATAATACTACCCTTTGATAGCAGAAATACTTCCCTGCATGGAACTCGTACGAGTTGCCCGTTAATGAATAAGGAATCCCTGCTAAAGCTCCCACAAAAACCGCCAAAACCAGATAMATTTTAGTTTTTCTTGGATTGAAGAACTTGCGATGTGTCATTGGGCGAATTATTCTGCAGTATCTGTTTATAGCCATCAGAGTTAAAGTATTTAGCGAAAAACTTGCCAAGAAAACTGTAAGGAAGCCTTGGAATTGACAAAGCTYGTAGKTAAAGATCCAAGAGCCTTTGATAAGYGTAGTAATAGTCAATGGTTTTACACAAACAGCCATTGTAATGTCAGAAACTGCGAGCGCAAGGACAAAGTAGTTGGGAATGGTTCGTAGTGATGGTTTTCTATATATGATTACTAATACAAGTATATTTCCAAWCAGTGCAAGGACAGAGATGATAGTGTCGACGCATGTTTCTATTACCACTGTACTTATTTTTCGTGAAGAAAAAGAAGTTTGAAGTGAAGAATTTGCTACAGGAAGATATGACGTACCCATTAGTAAATGTGTTTACTAATCTCAGTTGGACTTTAGCCCAARTATCAGCCTTTACGATACTTGTTTGAATTTTTTGGAGAGTAGTAAARCCATACAGACTTCTTTAGGTTTTTTCCATGATTTGAAGAGGCCRAGACGATGAGATTATATAATCTTATTTAGAATTGTTGAGGAAAATAATTCAGCTTCACAGAGATTTTGAAAGATSCGAAACGCACTAAAATGTTGTTTTGGATACGATCTCTCTTTGTTTCTGATCTTGCTGAGCTGATCCAATATCGGCGGCTCTCTCTTCAGACGAGTATAAACAATCTTTCTGCGTTCAATTCTTATGATTGATTGTTAGTACCGTTAACCTGCGCCGTGTACCACTGATATAACTAATACATAACTATGGTTCACAGCCAATTATATGTCATCTGTTTTCTAACAAATCCTTTGGATTGGAAGGTTGCTTTTATAATTATAACAAAGAAATGTTAGTGGATGTTTACTTATGCGAACGTTTTACATCATTGTAAACCAAATGCATGCCATTGGCTGTTCAGAATGACGTCATGGACGCCATTTTGATTGTATTTGTTCAAGACTTCAGTTTTCAATTTAAAAGGATATTGTTTGATGTATTTGTTCAATGGAAAAAAAAAACTGAACGAAGGTTTTGTCATTATTTGCAGCAGTATTYATATATAGAAGGGTTAAAAAAGTACCGGAAATTGAATAAGCTGCCATTTTTATTGATTTTTGGGATTTTWTTGACGTCTCGGCGGCAACTGTCAAATGAGGTTCACATGAGAATGGCTCTATAACCGAAAGCTTTACATTCCAAATAGAAAAAACCTCATAATATAGTCAATTAATAGTTAAGAAATTACTCGTTTTATAGTATAAGGTTTATACCTCTTGGCATAAATGTGTTAAATATTGTTTTAAAGGCCCGTTTACACTTGCGATTTTTGCAGAGCGATTGTCGCGGCGATTGTTGCGCGAACATCGTAAGACTTTCGAACATGCTTGAAAATTGGCTGCAGCTTCGCGGCGATTTTCCATCGCCCCAACAATCGCAGGGCTGTTTACACGTACGATTTGAGTTATGCAATAGCAAAATGGCGATTATCGCCGACGCTGTTGTGCTAAAAACGTGTTAACGGGCCTTAACTGTGATTTCTATTATTCATATGATTTTTTGCGTTTTGTGTTGCCTTGTTTCGTTTCGTTTCGTTTCGTTTCGTTAGTACAAAATGACTGCGTAGTTGATAAATAGCTGTGAAACCGTATTTCATTTCGGATATTCAAGCACTATAATGGGAACAACAATTTAATATAGCCGAGGTGTGATAGTCCAACAGACGTATAACAATGGGATCAGGCCTAACTTAGGTGTTTTGCTATAATAATTAAAAGATCCTCGATCTGCCATCAAGTGTCAATTTTTAGAAATTATTATCCATCAAGCTGACATTCTGTTATAAGACAAAATTAGCAAATCAATATTCATGAACGTTTCTAGTAAGTCATTCCCTAGGTTATCAATAAGTTTCACACCTGCGTTCTTGTGTTAATAGAACTTATATTTATTTTGACATAATCTTGATTAGATATAAAATATGACATCTGTTTTGTACACATCGTTTCGTTTAGCTGTTTAACGTTTACTAGTATTCCAATACATTCATCTCGAACATAACTTAGGTTACTATTTTTATAGGTTTTCTACACTGTCTTGCTTAGCGTTGTGGACCCCTAACTAAGCTAAAGTCTAGTTACAGCTTGTGACTCTTTAGTTGTCACTTCCATTTAATCACTCTCTTTAATTTCGAATATTCCATTAAGCCGTCAGATAAGAACTATAGGTTTGACAGTATAGCGAGACTACGAGGCACCTTATTTCAGTTTCCACATTTTCATCTAGGATATCCCCACGTGTCTTATAGCACTGTAATATTACACCAATTTCAGATAGACTCCACCCTTGTAACCCTACACCTCAATGCGTACCCCAAAACGCCCTTCGTTGGTTTGGAGCCTTGTAGCATCGTTCATTTTGTGTATCTCTATAATATAACTTGATAGAAAGTTAGTTCTCTGTTAGAGCTATCTTCTGTCTTAGTTTCACCTTTAAATTTAACTTAAAACTATGTCGGGGCATAGCCTTTTCTCTCTGTTTACATTCTGTTATGCAGTCTTACGACAGTTTCCTGCCTTTACAATGCACAAAGTCAAAGAAATTCCCATTTCCATGGACAGAATACTTCTTTAAACCATCGCTTAATTTTTCTTCTGAGATACGATGAATTGTGGAACAGAATGGAAGGGCTGATTGCACCATTGGAAAATATTATTAGCGAACATAGATATCGTACCACGTAGTCAACAGCAAACGATAGATTGAGTCTTAAGATTACAGCCACGGTGCTATAGACTATATATGAAATGTACGGCGCCATGAATGCAATGGTGAGAAACACGAACATTTTAGTGAGTTTGTTTTGTTGAATGTTCACTGTTGCCGATTGTGGGTTCATTCCAGAGGGCGCGATGCATCTTGACCGACGGATGTTTCTCAAGATTCGAGTGGATGTGAATATGAGGAATATGCTGGGAATGACATAGACAATCATAGTAAATGTTAAAAAGAACCCTCGCGTGGTTTTTGTGCTGTTATCATACTTGCATACCTGGGTGTACATGTTGTTACCAAGATCAAAGCGTACAAGGTTGTATGAAGGCATAGCGATGAAATCAATGAGCGCTCCTACGACCCATGCTACAACAACAAGCTGCTTCCATACTTTCCACCCTGATGTYATCAGTGGACGGAAGATCACTAGATATCGTTCTATCGATATGATAACGTGATTCATTACAGTTACAATTATGAAAAGCAAGTTATTGTATCGAATCAGTTTGCAAAGCATGTCGGTCTTGATGAAGTCAACAAACATCTCARYGGTAAACACTGGTATTGTTACCATAGAGCAAAGGACGTCTGATAACGCAAGACTTTGGATAAAGCGATCTGCTAACAGACGTCTAGTATTCTTGGGCTTTTGATGGATGAAGTATAAGATCAAAGAGTTCGCTACAAGACTGTACAACCCAACARTGACATTCGCGCACGCGATTGAGATTTTGATGTTTTGATTGACAGGTATGAAGACATACTTTTCGTTGGTGAAGTTGGTGTCGTTCATGTTGGAGTTGTCAATGTTGGAGTTGTCAATGTTGGAGTTTTCTGAGTACAGCAGTCTTAAAGATGATGTTAGTGTAGTTCGTGTTGCTCACTCACCAGCTCCAAGACGAATGGGGAAAACTACAAGTGCCTTTCTTTAAAGAGGTCGCCGCTTGATAATTACAGATGAGAAACAGGATGGGCTTATTATCTAGAATCACTTTTCGTCCAATGAAGAATGCTGAAAATTCTATAATTGCTAATACGTTCAATTAGCAGGAACGTTTTCCGA